CAGCCTTAGAGATCCTGCCCCAATAACCTAAAGAAAAAGCTGATTAGAAGTTAGAGTCGCGTGAGCATGGGGTTTCCTCCCTCCCACCCTTCCAGGTCCTGACGGAAGGAGGATGGACATGTCCCTTGGCACCATAGCCTCACAAGGGTCCCCAGGAGCAAATGCACCCAAAAGGCACCACAGGATTTTGCCAGTGACCTCCAGTCCTTGGAAAGAGGGGACTTCTGGCTCTGGTGGTGTCTGAAGCCCTGGCAGAAATGGGTCCCAACCCCATGTTTCCCAGGTCTGCCCCATCTCACCAACCAGCACGGAGCAGTCCTTGGCCATAAGGCAACACTCTGGCTCCTCAGCCACGCCAGGACCCAGGGATGGGGGGCTGCTCCCAGGGGGGCCATTGCCTCCTACATGGAGGGCAGAGGGCATCTTCCAAGCCGCCCCACATGCTGGGTGGGAGAGATAAATAAATACCAGAATAAATAAATACAAGTGGCAAAGAGGCCTGAAATGATGCTGTCGTTTGCTGGGAATGAGAGACACAAGTGTAATTTAGGTTTTGATATTATGAAAGTCTCGCTGCTCTAAAACAGCAGGGCACTCAGTGCCTCATTAATAAAGGATAAACTTGGAGTCTATTTACAATGCACTTTTTGGGGTTATTTACACTCCATTATACATATGTAATGCTGCACATATTTACCGCTCTGTTCTGCTGCCGAGAGCAGCCGAGTCGGGGGGGAGACAGGGTGGGAAGCGGCTGATGCTGTGGAGCCATGACCCCTGCTTTGACTGATGTCCCTTAAACAGCTCGAGCTGCAGGAGAGCCCCAAGCCAGCTGCTGCGGACGGAGGGGCTGGGACCGGGCGCTGGGGGACCCAATGTGGCCCAGTCCCTGTCCTCATGTCCCCAGCGCCCACCCACCCCTGGAGGCACCCTGAGGCTTTGCCAAGTGATGCAGAAAGGGTGAGCTCCTCGCATGGGCTGGAGCCCAGCACACCAACACGTGATGATGAGCACCAAGCATGCAAGCCGTGGGCCCATCACAGAGTGGAGAGCTGGAAAAAACAAGGCTAAATTATCTGCAACAAAATAAATTGGCACTAGAGGGTTTTGGCTGCGCAGCCCTCCCCACTGCCCAGCTTTTACCTCTTACCAGTGCAAAATATTGTGGTTTCCCTGCAAATGGCAGCTCCCCAAGGGTCTGCTGGCCTGGGAGCCCCAGACCCCGTGGTGTTCGTGGAAGCTGCTGTGAGGGTCCTGGGCCATGCGAGTGCTGTGCCCGTGGCAGTCCCAGGAAACAGGGCAGCCGCCGTCACAGGATCCAGGGCAGAGACATGGGAGAGGTCATGCTTGGAGAGCACCCTGGGGTCACAGCAATTCATGGGGTGCAGCAAGGGGATGTGGGTGCACCCGGGACCCCTTTGTCCTCAGCAGAGTTTGGGAGGGTGCAGGGGTCCCACAGGAGCACTCTCTGCAGGGCCAGTGTGCAGGGCTGGGCAGCGAGGGGCTGCCAGCAGGTTAGGGGCAGGGGGAGCATGGCGGCTGGATGGTCATTCCCAACTCTGAGCTGCTCCATGTCCTTTCTGCAACTCAGCCTGTGTTTGCATGACCAACGTGGAGTGAGATGCAAGAGCCCGGGAGACACCCTGACCACCCATCCCAGGAAATGTGGGGCGACTCTGACCTTCCCAGCCAGGCACAGTGGGGAAGGGGACAAGCCCCCCATCCCATCCTGCTGCTCCCCACTGCTCCCCAGCACTGGGGAAGCACCCACCTGTGCCAGCATGCTCCAGCTCGCTGCCGTCCCAGGTTGCACTTGCCAGATGCCAGCTCTGGAGGCAATGCTCTTTATTAAACACCTTGTGTGGGCAGCTTTTGGCAAGTCCATGTGCCTGGGAGTGATATGAAACCCCTGCCCCCAGGAGGTCCCCCTGTCTCTAGGAGGGTATCTCTTCCAGCATGGGGGTGATGCGCAGCCGTCAGTGCAGCCCTGGCCCGTCATCGGAGCTCATTCTGGCCACAGGCTGCAGTACGGTGAGATGCCCTGGGAGACACAGAGCTGATGGAGTCCGAGCAAACTGGCCCTCACTTCCCTCCCCAGCACCGAGAGCCTCCTCCGCCACCCCATCCCCCACAGCCCACTCAGGGCGGGGGTCCCATAGTGGGAGGCGGGGGGCAGGTCTGGGCAGGCTGGAGCCCGAGCCCTCCAGGGACCTGCTCTCCAAGGCCCCATAGCCATCGAGCTTCATCATCCCGATGAGGTGGGCTGGGATGGAGAGGAAGGAGCGGCGGGGGGCAAAGATGTGGCTGATCTCCATGAAGGTTTTGTTCTTGGTCTCGGGGATGACGAGGTAGACGTACAAGGCCACCAGCAGGCAGATGCCGCAGAAAACCAGGTAGCAAAAGGCACCGGCTGACATCTGGGGACAACGAGAGAGCAGAGACAGGGAAGAGAGCCAGGCACCCCTGAGCTGGGCATGGCACAAGGCAGCGTCCCCTCCTATCACCCCTCCCTGGGCTGGCTCAGGCTTGGCACCCTGTCCTGGGGAGCAGCAGGGCCGTGCCCGTCCCCTCCTCCTCCCACGGCCCCTCTGGACAGGTACCTGCAAGAAGGGGAAGATGAAGCCGACGGTGAAGTTGCAGAGCCAGTTGAGGGACCCCCCCACAATGTAGGCGGCCGGGCGGTGCGACTGCGTGAAGAGCTCAGCTGTCATCAGGAAGGGGATGCCAGCTGCGGAGGGAGGGGGCATATTGAGGGTATGGGGACAGGCTGCCTTAGGCACCCCTGGGGTCGACAGGTCCTGCCCGTCTCAGTCCTGTGGTCAAAGGGCTGGAGCCCAGCAAGACCCACGCATCAAAGCGGTGGTGCTGGGAGGGCTGTAGGAGACGGGGAGCGTGGGGACGGATAGACCAGTGTCCTGCCCTTTGGGATCCGTCTTGGTGGGTGGGTGATGTCCCCCCTGACATACCACAGTTGCACCTTGCTGCGTGCTGACTGGAAAGTTTCAGACCAAGTCAATATCAAGGTGGAACATTTCATCTGGATCCTCATTTTGCAATAATTTGCCTAAATGCTGATATATTAAACCTTATATAGACCATGGGCATAGAGAAACATATTCCTGGTGCCCTCCATAATGTCCTTCCCAGCCTCTCTTGATCAAAACGGTTTAGAAAACTTCCTTCTATCGATTAGCTAAAGGCTCGGACGCTGTGGCTGATTTAGGCAGGAAAGAAGCAACCACATTTCCAAGCAACAGAACTTCCCACAGGACACAGAAGTGCCATTTTCCAACTGGCTTTTCCCATGTATGGTGAAAAAAAACCCAGAATGACTGAAGATGATTGCACAAGCCAACCTGGCTACTAAAAACTGGACATGAGTTGTGGCTACTTCTCCTGGGAGGACTCAGCCCCTCCTGCCATGTGTCACTGAGCCGGTAGCCCTGGCTCCCAGGACCGTCCCTTTGCTGGAGGGCAGGATCCAAGGTCCAGCGCACATCCCAGGGCACAGGGGGATCTGGCAGGGGACTGTATTTGACGTGGTGACATGCCTGGGGCCCCACTGCCCGGGACGGGCCTGACTGGGACCTTTTTTTAAAAGACGCTCCAAGGGAAAATACAAACAAAAAAAAGCGCTAAGAAGTGAGGGAGGAGCGGAGCCCCTGATGGACTCTTACTCACAGCTCGCCCAGAATAGAGATATATATTTTTTTTGTTTTAAAACTCCTATTCATCATTGTTTGTGAACAATGAGCCATTAAAATCCTAATTAAAGATGTAATTACAGTGAATAAAGTCTGGGCTGAGGATGAATTATAGATCTGTTAACAGCTCTGCTAATACATCAACTGGGTAAACCAGTCCAGGTTTCACTCCTCGCTGTTCAAGCCCGCTCTCGTGCCCGCGCTCGGTTAAGGGCAGGACGATGCTCACCACCCGCACCGTGATGGGAGCGGGTGATACCTCCGGCGGGGCCTGGGGAAGGCTGCCAGGGCTTTCTCCCTGCTTGGCCCAGGAGCAGGGGTGAGGAGGAGGAGGTGGAGCGTGTCCCAGGGATGCATGGGACTGTAGGGGCTTGTGGTGGGATCTTGCTCACAGGATGCAGCATGATAAACCAGGGTCTGGCTGTGGGGAAGGGGCCAGAGCATGGGTCTTGCCCCGCCTGCCTGCAAACCCCGCCGCTCCCGTGGGGCCCCCATTCGTGCCCCACCAACCCCCCCTCCTGCCGGCCCCAGACCCACCTGGTCCCATGCAGAAGCCAGCGATGATGCCGACCACACAGGCGACAACGACGTAGCGCATCCAGGGCAGGGCGGTCTGCAAGGGGACACGGGGCTGGGGGATGCTGCCGGGGCAGCGGCCCCAAGCTTCACACCCAGTGTTCCTGGGACAGGGCTTCACACCTGCCCCTCGGCTCGGTGGCAGCCTTCAGGGATGGTGGCCATGCAGGATGTGTGGGGCAAAGTTCAGCGACTCGTGATGCTGAGGTGTCCCCAGAGCTGCAGGAGCATCCCCCGGGAGCAGGCAGCAGAGGAAGGACCCTGCAGACCTCTCCACCTCCCCTGCCATCTCACAGTTGCCTCCCTGGGGACAACTATTTCTGCAGAAAAGCCAGAAGTGGCAGGATTTTTCTCATGTGGATTTGGGTTTTTTTTGTTGTTCTTTGCTCCGAGTTTTCCTTCCCTTGATCTTTGAAGGGAAACATTGCTTGGGAAAGAGCTGGCTCACCTCTCATTTCCATGCATGCTCCCTCCCCCAGGGTAGTACCCATCCCTTCAAGACCCAGCCCTCATTAAGGCGCCCAATGCTCCAGCCCCAGTCACGT